AATGCAGCAACCGTCCTTGCCTACATAATGCGTCACCAAAACACATTATGAAATGCACGTTAGGAAAACGAAAGAAAAAACCGGTAAAATGCTGTATTTTGATGAATATGAAATGGAAATACCAGAAAAGTACGACGAGTGGATCGGATTTTCGCATATTTAGCGAAACTAATGATCAACCCGATACCAATGGACAGACCAACGAACATACCGAAAAGAAACCCATGATTCTCTTTAGTTTTCGTTAGAACCCCAGATAATAAGATTATGAATCTTGGTGAAAATATCTTTGGGTTTTGCTTTTCCCCCTGAGATTTTCTTTTCGAGGCATTGTAAGAAAAAGAGCCTCCTTTTCCTAGTGAGGGAAAAAAACGAGAATTTTGAGATTTAGTCTCAAGTAACGATTAAGCAATATACTCACCTGATTTGGAAATGGTAACTATGCCTCAATTCACATGTTAGGATTGAATGAATTGACAGCAAATATCATAATATTAGTAATTAATCAGGGACAGATGAGACAGTGGTCCCTTAATATTTTAAAATCTCTTATATTTTAATTTTTTTATATTTTTTATGAATAATTTATTTTTATTTAATACCTCCTAACATAAAACGTCAATCTCTAAATATTTAAATTAGTAGTTGATGGATCGTATTTATCATTTTAATTTATTTTTTTTTTTTAAAAATTAAGTGAAATAAAATTGAACCGAATGAATAAATTTGTCAGAATTAAATTAGAAAAATAAAATTATCTTATCAAATGACTAAATTTTAAACTAGAACATATAACAGATTAATAATTTTCAAAATCTTATAACAAATTAATTAGTATTATGATTTAATCAATCTCATGGTCAAATAAGTATTTTTACCACTTCCTGGAACGTTTCAAGTGGATAAAGCGAAGGCAGCCAAACTAACCATTTCCTTCTTTCTTCCCCCGCGACGCCTTCTTTAATTTTACTTCGAAGAAATCGGCGTTTTCCCTCGCTTTGTCCTCATGATTTTCTCGAGAAAAATGATATCGGTATCCCTATATCCAAACACATTGTTTCTAATTGAAAGTCAGAAAAGCTTTCCTAACATGGCGCATCGTTGTAATATTCAGGGTCGGCTCTCACTTTGCTATGCCTGTGTGTTTCCGCAATCCTTATGGGTTTCTTAACATTGATCATTTCAGTTCTTTCATAAGCTTCTCTGCTCCACCTCTTGAATCACCAGAACCAAAGTTTGAGTTGCAGAGATAAATCGTTTCTACTTCTGATCAAATCAGAGCCGTTGGTTCCAGCGGATCAATTGAAGATCATCAGCACCTCAACCGAAACACCACCGTCATAGTATAACTCTCTATCTCGCTCTAATGGATTGAGAGAAAAAAAACAAAACAGTTACCTAATGCTTTGAATCTTCAAGATAAATGTTGGATCAATTTTTAAAATGAGATGCAATATTGATAATTTTTTCTTCTTTCCCTCACTTTAATGTTTTCGATTTTCTTTCTTGTTATAAAAAAGTTATTATATATGTTATCGTATATTACAGAGAGAAACGAAGAACGACGCCGAGAACATGTGATAGAACTAGGCCTAGCCCGAGCTCGAGCTTCGATTCGCTCGAATCGTCAGGACGGCTTCTTCAAGAACGACAATGACGTTCCCGTTGGAGATGTCTATCGTAATCCAAGCATTTTATCAGTAAGAATTATTTAACTTCTTTTATTTTAACCAAAAAAACGGAGCGATTGATTACCTTATGCTATGCTTTTTTAATAGAATTTATGCTACTTACTACTGAACAAAGTTGTTATTAAAGAGGCCTCGAGCTACATTGCTTCGAAGGTATAGTAAATTAGCTATATACATATCTTTATATTTTTTTTAATTGGAAGAGAATTGATGAATTGAGGAATTGCGCACTCGTCAGCGCACTCATTTCTTGCATTCCGCACTCGATAGTCGATATCGTATTATGATATCTAGCTACAGAAAAAGTGGCGATGCTACATGTGGATCGCTTATTTAAGTAACTGTTGTCCATAATTTGAAAATAAAAGTTTGCATATTAAATTCTGAAGTTATACATATAGTATATTTTTTAAATATTAAATAAAAGTTAAATTTTTCATTTGATCCATCTATATCTGTAGATATATTGTGTTGGTGGGTTATGTTGCATGCAAGATAATCATGAGGAATGTCTTTGGAGCTGGATGAAAGTGTAGTGGGTGGTCCAAGAACAAAAATTCAATTTGCCTGCATAAACTATCACTCCACATGTGGAGAATAGTTTTACTTATTGTAGTAGCAAAGTGTTCTGCTGTCGTTATCTTCACATGTGAAGATGACAAATTGACAATAGAAGAGGCCTCAAAGTCTTCTTAATCAATTCTACTGTCTTCAATTAGGTACTTCAGTGAGTGGAAGTTTCAACAAGAATATAGGGTTATCTACTTTGAGTTTTACCAGGAAAAAGGATGTCTCTTACACACTAATTTTCGAGCATGTATGAATGTACGCGTATATATATCATTAAGATTAAGATCTCAAATGACCTAGGCATTTCATCAAGCATGTCGATGCCATTAAACAAATGACATTGTTCCCATTCATATACCATTCATATAAATTATGAACTATTAATTCTAAGGATAGAGTGTTAAAATCATGACAATAATATTTTGGATTACAGTTGACACCGGTATTTATTATGCTAATCATGATTATAGGAGTTACGTAGAGATAGAGAGGAGATTAAAGTCTATGTGTACACAGAAGGAGAGCTTCCAATAGTCCACGACGGGCCATGCAAGGATATATACACGATAGAAGGCCGATTCATATACGAGATGGAGCATGGTGCTAAGAGGTTTAGGACAAATGACCCACAGCGTGCTCACGTTTACTTCATGCCCTTCAGTGTCCTGGATGGTCAAGTATATTTACACGCCTCTTAGTTTCAACGTTACTCCCTTAAGCAGTTTGTTCAGATTATGTCAATGTGGTATCCACAAAATACCCATTTTGGAATCGGACTCATGGCGCTGATCACTTCAGCTTGCTTGTCATGGTTGGGTCAGTTTCTCGTTCCCTCATTTGTTATGTTTATTGCTTCTTTTGCATTAATTATATTACAAGCATTTATACAACTGACCATCGAGATTATCACCAAATATGCCATAATTAAAACTAATATCATTCGTGCTTCTTTTGCAGGGGCCCCATGCATCACAAGGCAACTCACTGCTCTACAAAAATTCAATTCGGGTGTTGTGCATGCCAACACCTCCAAAGGATTCAATCCACGAAAGGACGTAAGCCTTCCCAAAAAACCTCATAGCCCCATGCATCACAAGGCAACTCACTGCTCTACAAAATTCATTCGGGTGTTGTGCAATGCCAACACTCCAAAGGATTCAATCCACGAAAGGACGTAAGCTTCCAAAATAAACCTCATAGGTGGCTATCTATCCCCTAAACTCATCCACCCACCACCGCGCAACGCTTTTCGACCCCATCTTTCTTTCTTTGCCGGGGACTTCACGACCCAATCCGCCCGTACCTCCTCCAACACTGGAAAGGTCGAGAGGATGACATGCAAGTTTATAAATACCTCCTGAAAAACAAAAACTATTACTCCTACATGCTGCAATCAAATTTTGTCTATGCCCAAGTGGGCATGAAGTTGCCAGTCCAAGGATTGTTGAGCCATATACTCTGAATGTGTGCCGGTTATTTTGTCAGATAATTATGTGTTGCCTTTCAGTGATGTGTTGCGGTGGGAGACTTTTTCAGTGCAAGTGGAAACAACGAGAATTTCTAATTGAAAGAGATTTTATTGGCAATTCCGGAAGAAAAATACAAGAAACTTCAAGAGGGTCTGAGTGTTGTGCGAAAACATTTTATGTTAAATCAACCCTCTTAAGAGATTTGACGTGTTCCACATGATATTACACTCGATATGGCTTAGGAGAATTAATGCAAGACCCCAATAGATCTTAATTCTTTTCAAATATGTGCAGTTAAATGATCATACTCATTCATTAATTTTCTTTTAATTTTAGTCTTTTAAAATATATATGTTCAAGGATAGACTTAGAGGGGACGGGTGAAGGTGGCCGCCCTACCTAAAAACTTTAAATTCTTTATGTTATAGATATTTTCTTTATATTTTGGGTTGAAAACCTATTTGGTCCGTAAAATTTATAAATTAATCTCCTCTAATATGAAATCCTACATCCATCCATGTATACCCTTTCTTAAAAATTACAATTAGTAAATAAAAATATATAATGATCCTACATGAACATCAATTATCTCAATCATATGGACTATTTCACTTTGTTTTGTCTTTAATCATAAAAGCATCATTGAGATTAGTAATATTTATATGACGACGAGAGAAATAAAAGTGCAAGGATTGAACCCGAAGCAAGTATATAATATGATCACTTGCTTCAAAAAGTTCAGAAATGTGCTTCCGAAAGTGGATAGTTCTACCAGGAAAATGCCAAATACAAAAAAAAAAATGGAGAGGTTGTGTTGATCGAAAAGCTATATTGGGCTTTGAAATATAGAATAAACATTCATAAAGTACGGTAAAATGGGGCATGCAGATTCGTTTCCATTAAAAACAAACCCAAAAAGAAAGTCAGATTCTATATTATAACTGTATATTGATTTAATCTTATACATTTGATTAATTCTAATACCATACTTTTTAAATATTAAAATGTTAGTCTTGACCCTGATGGTGTAAAATCAATTGCACGAAATTACAAAGGCAAAATTATGAAATCAGATAAAAAAAAAACCAACTCTACAAATTACGTATACTATAGGGACCAATGGAAGACTCATGTTATTATAAAATCTTCAATTAAAACTTACCTGAATTCCTGAACTGATATTTTCCCAAATATATAATAAGACGCCAGGATGAAAGAAACAATGAAGAAAGAGGGAGTGGCAATAGCCAAAAACTTTTCGAAGGCCTATGATTAACTTCTATAAGAAAATACAAAAAGAAGAAGCACAGAGGTAAAATGGCATTTCCCAACTGTTAACTGCAGACATTCAATCAACCCGTTACTTTGACCTGGGAATGGGGTGGTTGGCCCCCCTTATTATTTCTTTCTCCTCAGAGATGTGCTTCCAAAAGTTCTACCAGCAAAAATGCCAAATAAAAAGGATAAAAAAAATATAGTACATCTCGTCAAATTGAGAAATGAGAGATGTTATCCAGTATGGGGGCAAGTCTACCCGTTGGCATAAAAGAACTAGAAATCAAGCATGGTTGAACCAAGGCCCGACTGCCCCATTCACATGCCCATTGCCGTGGATCCCTACGCCATTAGGAACGAGGGATGGTGGCATTCCAACAGTCATAGGTGGTGGTGGGGTTGTAGGGAATAACCCATGATTATGTGGGATAGTATGCGGACTCATGAGAGGACTGCCGGCGGGACTGCCTTTACGCTGCTGCAGGGCATGGATTTGCCTCAGCCCTTCCTCATGAATCCTAGATAACGTTTCCAACTCTTTCATGGACAGTGCTTCCAGACCAGCACCATAGAGTGGGGCATGTCGTGACATTTCTTCTTGAAGTGAGGCCTCAAGTGTGTGAATGTATTGCTGCACAGACAACAAAATATATTTGATTAGACTTCCTCACCAGAGCTCACAACTTTCCATGACAGCCTGGAAAAGATGATTCAGATGCAAACTAGAAATCTAGAAGCAAAATAGATAGATAACGGCAAGCTCAATAGTATATCCAGTCCCCTTAACACCAGCCACTACGTCCACCCCACTAAAATGTTAAAACTTCCTAGAAACTCAAATTAAAAGATGAAAACGAAATAGAAAGGGTAATTATGATGAGGGAAAAAACCTGGCAGGCTTGCAACTTTGATTCCATGCCATCAATATATGCTTCACACCTAGCCACCTGCTCCTCTTTTTCCCGCTTTTCACCTTCAGTTTGACCAACTGTTTGTGTCAATCTACGAACTTTATCCTCAAGCGACTGACGAATTTTTCTCGTGTCACATTTTCTGTGGCATACCATTTCAATTCTTCATCAAACCTTTTCCTTTCAGCTTCAGCGCTCTTCAATCTTTCAGCAAGAGCATTCTTCTCCTTCACTACCCTCTGCCATGCGCATAGTTTCTTGTTAGATAAAGCAGTAAGATAGCCATCAACTGAAGCCAGAACAACAGCAAAAGAGTGAAGAGGCAACACATTAAACATCAAAATTACCTTTAACTCGTCACGTTTCCGAGACTTCAACTGGGAGAGCTGTGCCTCTGCATCATGAAGACGATCCTGAAGATCTTTCTTCTCATTAGTAACTTTTGCAATTTCATCATCTCTCTCTAAACGAAGCCACTCAAGTTGACTCTCAACCTCCTGTATTTGTTCAGAAAGTTCCTTCTTTTCCCGGGCAAAGCGATCCATCTCAGCCCTCATTTCAGACTGTGAATTTCTAAATGTGTTAATTTAAAGAACTTCCTGAAAAGACTAGATGTGGAAGGGCAATCCTTGAACTGAAAATGACCATTAGTTTAAGACACACACCTTTAGTCGATTATTTGCAGCCTCAGATTCACTTAATTTCTGGGACAAAGCAGCTTTTTCCTTGATCATATTTGAAATTTCGACTTTTCTCTCTTCACGCGTGCGGATAATCACATCTTCGCTGGTGCATAATTGGTGCCAAAGAGCTGCTCGATCAACATTTGCAAGTTCGGCAACCTCCCGCATCATGCTTAGAACAGGTCTAACATATTCTTGCTCCTCAGAAACCAAACTAACCAAAATATCCAAATCTAAGTCTACTTCACAACTACTTTCAGCAGCGTTGGTTGCACGATCAACAAGTCTCTTCAGCATCCTCATTCGGTAGGACTCATCTACATACCACTTAAATAATACTGTATAAAGCATTTTCACAAAGCCTCTGACACGTAGGTCTCTAGAAAGTGCCAATGCCTCAGCAAGACCCAGAACTGAAGTGAAATCATCTCGTTGAACCCTAAGCCGCTCATTGGGTTCTCCCTCTACTACAGCATCTGCATGCTGAAAGTTCTCAGCAAAATATCTGGAATTAAGATTCAATCTCTGAGATAGACGCCTTTTCAAGACCATGGCTACAGACTGAGCTACAACGGCTCCTCTAGCCACAGTTCTCTCAAACGTTTGAGAAGCTTCAACAGCAAGGCAAGGTATAGATAGCATCTCAATCAGGAGATAAATGTCAGAAAAATGACGAGTAGCACAAAAAGCCTGATCATCCACCCCATGCAATCTTTCAGAAGTGGTTCCATTTTCACCAAACAAGAAGAGCCCAGAAGCTACAGGCGCGCAATCTTCAACTAAATCATCATCACAATTAATATCTCTTAGTATGGCCTCAGCAACATCTCCCCAGTTATTTACGATTTTACTTAAAAAAACAAAAACACACACGGAGACACTTCTGGGCCCAAATTTTTTAGCCTAACACGAACAGATCTAACCTACAAACGAGAACAAAAATAGTTATACATGCTTCATGAAATAATATTGATCTGCAGAATAGAATAATGCAACAAGAAAGCAAATCATACAGCTTCTTGGAGATGTTGGCATTGGAATGCAGCTTTAAAGATGAAATCTATGGTTGCAACAAGAGGTTCGTCATTTGAATCTGCCAAAAGCTCACAAGATTGAAATAAGGCACGTTCCCACCCTTCAACTGCCGCATTCTAGTTGACTGAGAGCTCCAAATACCTGCAATAGAAGAATCATTATTAACAAAATGATTAGACAATGAATTTTGTAAACAAAAAACAAATTTAAAACAAAGTTACATTCAAATTTGAGACAAAAGTTCAGAAACTCTCTTGTTCTTCTAAAGCACATCCTAATCCCAGTCCACGTATACTATTTAGGAAAAATAAATTACGTCCATGACAATGAGTATGTTACAGGTATTCGCATTGCAGGCTCTGCATCTGGCTTTTGAAGTCGTTCAAGAAGTGCATAAGCAGCCAGTGGATGCTCTGAATGCTCTACTAATTTAGGCACCAATGCAACTAGATCAGGTTGCAGATGCTTCGGAGCTTTATCCAATACAAGAGTAATCTTTTGTGCAGACTGGGGCCTCCGCCTTGGCTCTGGACATCCTTGTGGAACAGCTCCATCTAAGGCTCTCAATGAGTTGATAATCAACCCTAAGAGCTCCTCAGATTGTTCTGGCCACTTGGTCTGGAAATTCAATTAGTACAAGCAGTTAATATAGATTATAACCAAGTCAGTCCAATGTTATTTGTGAATCATACCTTTGAGCAAAGCGACAAATTCTCCAAAGAACCCACAGCAGATGTTTCTGGTGGAGAAATAGACAGTCCAGGAATAGGTTTTTCAGAGATGTCAATCCCATTCATGTCAGAACTTTGCACAGCAGAGGCAGTGCTACCATCATCCACACATGAATCCAACCTTTCATGCATAGGAATTTGAGAAGATTCCACAGCTCCATTTTTCTGATCACAAACCTGTGGGCTAGCAGCTTTTGTACCATCAGAAGGTTTAGAGTTTGCATCTGAAGAATCACCATGTGCACCTCCATCAGAGGGTTGGCAACATTCCACCATTATATCCAAGAGTAGATCAATTTGCCTGCTGCAAAACTTTGACCCCCATTAGCAGATTCATCAAACTCGGTGAAGATTCATCAGTCTTCAAAGCCTTCTTTCCATTACTACCAGAGAGCTTTGTTGGAAGCAGCAAGCGCTTCACTTTGGCTGGGTCATCCAGGTAAACACGAAGTCCAGTCAGAAAGCCAGCAATTGCCCCAGCATCCATTAGAAGCTTCTCTCGTAAAGTGACCTGTGGCTGTGATGGATTATCTCCATATGTAAGGTGAAATCCAGCTTGAGAAAGAAGGTTTCTAAAGATATCTTCTTCATCTCCACTTATTCCTTCACTGTCTTCAGAATCAATGAGTTCATCAGGATCAGTTGTTAGAGCATCCTGATCATCCTCGGAAGCTAAAACCTGGAAAAGGTAGAGAAAACAAACATAAAAATGATGATATTAATTCATTTGAAATATATAAAGAAAACTAGGCCCACTCCATCCGAGAAAGAGAGATATTATGGGTAAACATATTGGATTGAGTTATATAAAAAACAGTGCGTGAAAGAGTGATTCAAAAGAATCTGGCCAAAATCAGGTAAGGATCAAATTAACACAAAATGCAAGGAAAATCATAAACACTTAAACAGGACATGCAGCAGAAAAACCTTCCTGTATCAAAGGTTGTCTGTAATAGAAAGCATGTTACACATAAATGGGAAGTCCAGAAGGACTAGCTCTAAATCAGAAAAGTCAAAATAAAAAAAACTGTCTTCAAGAATAGCAAACACCACATGAAAGGAAGAAATCCAAAAAGACTAACCTCAAGATCGGAGAACTCAAACCAGGGGCAGCAATCCAGTATTTCACAAACAAAAACAACAGTTTCTCGCACGAGAAACCCTGCATCTGCTTCTAACATATCCGATACCTTCATGAACTGCAAAACAGAATTATTCCATGTCTTTGTACAAATAGAAGATTCCTTCCAGACAGTCTTGGCTGGATTCTTTTGATTCACCACAGCCATTCTGTATTTAACCCAGAAGTTTTTGTCCGGGTCACTACAAACTGACTGGTCACTCTCCAAGTATATGCATATAGTGTCAAAGGACTCGTAAACACCTGCATCATGAGAAACAACTAATTAATCAAGAGAAACAACCATATGGACAATTTAACAGCAGAATTGAAAGGAGACAATCACCCACCAATCCGAAGCTCACATCCACCAGCTTGGAAAAATTTGCTAAATATCTTACGGGTTTCCATGATTTCCTTGAAAGATAAGAAGTTCTCCACTTTCCATGTGAATGCAGTTCTCTTGCCAACCTTTTCTATCTGGGGAACAGTATTTGCTAACTCAGGATCACTGAAATCCTGCATTATGGATGTCTCTTTTAGAATTAGAACCTCTGCAGAGAATACAACAGTATCCTGAACAAGAAACCCAGAATCCTGATCAAAAAGGCTGGTAAGCGTCACAAATTCACGCCAACCCCAATCTTTGGCAGCTTTAGAGTAGCGATTCTGAGATTCTTTTGTAACTGACTTTTCCTCCATCTTTTGGTTCACAACCGAGAGCCGATGACTCACAAAACAGCTCCAGTCAATGGAAGTATTTCGTGAATCAGTAACCTCAAGAAAAACAGACAGGTGGCACGGTGGCTGAGACTGCCCTGATACCATCAAGCCCGTAAAAAAATTCAATCAGTTCATTTTCCAAATAGATGCTTCCATGTCTTACATGCAAGGAAAATAGAACCTATTACAAATTTAAATATAGCCCTTGTTCCAGATGCACAACAAAAGAAGCAAATTTTATATTATGTAAAAAAAAGTGACAAATAGATGCATTGACAGCTAGAGAATCTGTCGCCACTTCCCTAAGAGAAACATAACCAAGGTACAAATTTTCAAGTCAGTAAGAAATGAATTATTTATTGGACTTGTAACCAATTACTGATTGAAAAAACAAAATTTTAGTAGTTGAAAACTAATATAAGAATGCAACCATCTCGTACCTCAATTCAAAAAGATTTTTAGAAAAAGGCAAAGTGCAAGACTAATCACTTCCTTAAACGTGAAGTACCGGACTAAATTTGTCTGTACAAAAAAGAGCACAATATACAATTCATTAATAAAGAATTTTTCAATAATTCTTGCATACCTCGAGGATAAACAATCAGACGACAATCTCGATTTCCAATCTGAAATTTCCTGCTCTTGATGCAAAGACCTGTTATCTTCCTCTTCTTCAAAAGATCCTTCAACCTTGTAAAATTTTCAATCTTCCAAGTGAATTTCCCCATATGCATGTCAGACTTCCTCGATCCACTCCCAGTCCTCCCTACTATCAACCCCACATTTTTAGAGAAACTACTGAACTCCTTGATCACATGAAATGAAGTGCTAAATACTGCAGTATCATCCTCCAAAAACCCAGCCTCCTGCCCAACAAAATCGGACAGCTTCATGTAGTCATTCCATCCCAAACTAGTATTATCCCCACTCTTATTATCTGCAGCAAACCTTCCATACGAATCTCTATGCATATGATTTGACCCTGGCTTCTGATTCAGCACTGACATTCTAAATAAACACCAACAACTCCTATCAGAAGCAACTGATTTATCAGTATCCTTACTCTCCAAACACATAGACAAGTACTCTTGCCCATTGACCGAGCTTTGGTACACACTAATCCTCAAATTGCACTCCCCCGCCGGGAAAACTGGGCTCATTACCTTCTGTGTCTTAATCATCTCCATAAACAAGCTAAAATTATGCACTTTCCAAGTGAATTTGCCACTCAAAACATCAGAAACGGGAATGGCAACAGAAGATGAAATCATAGAAGACAATGAGGGTTGAACATCATTATTATTATTATTATTATTATTATTATCACGCGAGAAATTAGCGGATTCATTCAAGATTAAGATATCAGCTGTGATTAAAACTGCGTCGTTATTGAAGAGATAACCTGATTTGGAATCGAAAACAGCAGAAGAAGGCGTGAAATCGCACCAACCGTGAGATTTTTTCTTGCTAGAGAAGCGATGCCATGAATCACGGTGAATGCTTTTGGAATCGTCGGTTAGATTGACGATGGTTAAACGGTAACTAGCGAAGCAGTCCCATTTGGACGATGCTGTACCCCGCGGGTCCATGATTTGGAGATATATAGATATATAACCCGGCAAAGCCTGGGAGTCCCCTTTCGGATATACCAACAAACGGCAATCATAACCGCCTACCACGAAGTACTTGCTCCACAGTGCCCTAGCCTTGATTCTCGAAAAGTTATGAATCGTCCATCTGCAAACCGCCGAGTATTCTCCTCGTCGATCGACTGTCACTGATTCCTGGGCCCCACCGGTGCCGTCTCGCGACCCTACACCAGCTAAGTCATCCGCCGCCGATATCGATGCCAAGGGTTTGCTATTGCTGTGGTTGTGGTGGTTTTCGGGTACTGATGCTGAGGTGGCGGGCTGTGATTGGTCAGGTCCGCTGGTCGTAGAGGAAGAAGACGATGAGGAGACTGCCTCAGATGAGCTCTGCTTCATTGCTCCTTCTCTCTTATTTTCCCCCCTTTTTTTCTCGTTTATGTTTATATTTTTATTTGGATTGTGTGTTCTATCTATCTCTCCCTCTCTAACTCTGGTTTTAATAATTATAAAAAAAATTACGTGTTCTTTTTGTTTTCCTTTTCTTATCTCTGTTTTTAGAGAGAGAAAGTAACAAAGAGGCTAGAAGGAGGAACAAAGAGGCTATAAGGAGGAACAAATCGGGTTGGGGGACAATGAGGGCGCACCGCAATTTTCACCTTACTCTGCACCTTCCTGCGTTTGATCTGTTCCTGATCTATGCCGTCCACTTAGTCGACTAATTAATTTGACGGGGCTTCGAATTTGTGCACGTGCTTTTTGGCCCATGATGAATCGGGCCTTAAGCCTTAGTCCAGATGCACGTGACCTGGGCAACGTTGCCTCATCAGTTGAAGAACTCTCGGGACCTAAAGCCTCAATATCCTCCGTTATAATTGTAATTTGGATAAACTAGAAATTTCATCACTCAATCTTATTCTTATTTTAAAATTATTTTAGTATTTTTTAAAAAATCTGATCGTTAAAATTTTAAATTATTCTTGTCTTTATTACTCTATTATTATATATTTAATCCAATATTTATTTTTAAAAATTGTAACATGATCTGAAAACTTTATTCATTATTTTTTCAAATTTCCTTTGATTTTCTTAGGATGGTATAATTCCTTTCAAACTTCAACAGTGGAGAGGTAGAGAAGAAAGATAAAAACCATATATCTTTATTAAACGGTAGATATTGTATATCGAAATGATTTTAGGTTTTGCGACTATTTGGATTGGATTTTATAAGTTTCAAAGAAATTTTTTGAAAAAGTTTAAATCGATAAAGTGATAGAAGACAATAAAATAAATTTATCAATGTATCTAATAGTTAAAGAAGATGAAATAGAACATTAATTATGGCGTCATTATGTCATAATATGAAAATATAAAAGTTTAATCTTTAGAAGAAGATAAAAAAAAATAAGATTCACTACACATAAAGGCCATAATAAAACAATCTCTATAAAAAAAATGACACATCGTTATATTTTATTCGGTTTAACGTCCAAATGATTTAAATATGAAAATAATTTAAAAATTTATATTAAAATTTGTTTTTCTATTTGCTTTATTTCAAAAAGTAAATATTGAAGAACTTATATCTAATGCAAATGCATTCAAGAAAGGCTACTTACATGATATGGGAAATTAAAATAGTAGCCATAGTTATAAGATAGTGTAGTTAAATTACTGTTTCAAAAAGGTTTGGGTAAACTACATAAGTGGTCACCGTACTTTTAGGGCACTTGTATTTTGGTTACTCAACCTTTAAAATTTGTAATATAATCATTAAACTTTAAGTTTGTTTTATATGATGTGACATGTTACCTCCGTATAGGGATGCAAACGGGCGGGTCGGGTGCGGATACCCCCTCCCTCATCCCTATACTCATCTAATATTTTTTTAATCCACCACCCGCCCACCACACATGATGAGTACAAATTTTCAAATCCACACCCGCCCACGCGGGTACATTTTCAAATCCATCCTCATACCCACTACCCAGTAGCGACATACCCATCTAGACCCGCCTGACAGCAAACTAATGGGATGTTGGAGTTGATTCCCAGACAATTCGTGATGGGGTAGCAACGCATGTTTCAATTTGTTAGAGAAGTGGCTCTACGAATGTTATGGAGACAGATTGTAGAGAGCATATAGTCACAGAGCTAGATTGTTGAGTTGCTTTCGATGTTAATACTCATAGTGCGCCTAATATGGGTTTTGAGAGGCTAAATAACATGAAAACTGCTGCTTTTGATGTTAATGCATATAGTACGGTTAATTTGTGTTTAGATGAGCAGCATAGACTAAAGAACATGGAAAGTGACGTGGTTAGTTGGAATTATAGGTTTAATCAAATAACCGAATATTTTCCTAATTAAAGACTAGATTAAAGACTAAATATCCTTAATATTTAATTAAAGAGAAAATCGCCTCAGTGACCAAAAATGCCTTATAATATACGATTTTAACCAACTTTTTTTGGATTTGCCAAAATGACCAACAAAATCGCAACGCGAAATAAAAATCGCAACGCGATCCCCAGAATCGCAAATCAGTTTCCAAAATCGCAACGCGATTCTTGAAAATCGCAATGCGATAGTACAAATTCGCATTGCGATTTTCCAAAATCGCAACGCGAATATGAAAATCGCAACGCGAACACATAAATCGCAACGCGTATCCGTAAATCGCAACGTGTATCCGTAAATCGCAACGCGTATGGGTAAATCGCAATGCGTATCCGTATATCGCAACGCGTATCCGTAAATCGCAACGATAATACATAAAATCGCAACGCGTATCCGTAAATCGCAACGCGATATTTAAAGCGCCATTATAATCGCTACGCGTATTTTATTTTCAAATTACAAAAACAAATATTAAGACAAAATCCCCGTAATCGCAACTCATAACCTAAAACCTAAAATCACAACTCAGTCCCATCTCCATCTCTCACTCTCTACGGCGAAGAAATCCGTCCCCATCTCCGAAGATTTCCGTCCCCATCTCCGGCGAAATCCCTCACAACCATTCACGGTCAGAAATCCCTCACAATATTCAGAAATGGAAAATCAACCTCCGAGGGTTAGTTTTTTTTAATTATTTTTATTTTGAAATGTTTGCATTATTGTAGGTTTTTCATATTGAAACTGATGATAAGTTTAATGGTCATTTCAATAATAGATTAACCATTTCACTTAGATTTCATTTCGCGTTACGATTCTGTCGTTGCGATTTCATTTCGCGTTGCTATTCTCTCGTTGCGATTTTCAAGTTAGTATTTGTCTTTGTCTTTGTTCTGTCTTTTGGTTGAAGTAATGCAATCCATTCAAGTTTTAATTTGCAGAAGAGTCGCAACGAGATAAATGAAAATCGCAACGAGAGAATGACTGTCGCAACGAGAGAAATGAAAATCGCAACGAGAGAATCGCAACGCGAAATGAAAATCGCAACGAGAGAATCGCAACGCGAAACCAAAATCACATTGCAATTTTCATTTCGCGTTGCGATTCTCTCGTTGCGATTTTCATTTCGCGTTGCGATTCTCTCGTTGCGATTTTCATTTCTCTCGTAGCGACAGTCATTCTCTCGTTGCGATTTTCATTTCAACCAAAAGACAAAACAGTGTTGCAAATTTTAGTTTCAAGAATAAACTACTACTTTTTATGTTTATTGTTTTTGGTATATCTTCACAGTGTAGTTTTTGGTATATCTAACTTGGTATGTTTATTGTTTTTGTAGAAATTTTTTTCGGCTTCATTGACATTAAGGAATAAAGTTAGCCTAGCCACTACAATTGCTTCGAAGCTTTCACCTGCTCAAAGACAATTGTTTGAGGAAACCTGCTTCGGGCCATGGCTGAGAGTACAACATCCGGGTGGAGATGCTAATTTGACCCATTTGTGGCTTCAGACCATGACATCAAATCTACCCGACAGTATACAACGTGGTGAGGAAGAGATATGGTTTCATTTTCCACCAGCGTATACTTGTTTTGGGCGGAAGGAGTTCTGCTTAATCACTGGTCTACGATTCGGACACGATGATGTAGGCCGGTACACTCGTCATATCGCCCGCCCATCATGGTTATCCCGGGTTTTTCCGAATGAGTCAATGGAGAAGCCGAACCTACACGTCGACGACCTGAAGAAATTGTTTAATAAGAAAGCTGGTTTCACTCGGATGGATGACGTCGATGTTGTCCGAGTATGCCTTCTACTACTTGTGTATGCCGGCTTTTTAGGCAAAGAGGCCAGACAACCTATTCCTCGGGAGCTAATAATATTGGTAGAGGACCTGAATGCATGGAATCTGTTTCCGTGGGGTTCGTATATATGGAAAGCTACCTGGACTAAGTTGTCTACTGCCTTTGATGACCGCAAAAGTTTGCGTGGCGATGGGTCGAAATACACTTTGCCAGGCTTTGTTTGGGCCTTTAAGGTAAGAATTTCTATATAATGTTTCTAAAATTATAATTAATTATTTAACAATTACTAATTTTGTTATTATATTGTTTGTAGATTTGGATATTCGAGGCTTTCCCCAGCATGCGTACATATGCAATAAAAACGTCAAATGATATTCCCAGGGCTATTTCCTGGAAGAGGAAAACTCTGTTGGATTGGGAAGACTTAATACCATATGCGACAATAAATAATGTAAGTTAACACAAATACTTTCATATAATATAAACAAGTTATTAATAGTAGACGTTTAACTTTGTTTGAGTTTTTATATTTTAGGAGGCCAACATTCCATTACAAAGACTGACACCCACGGAGGAAGAGCTTGCCACTGATTGGTGGCAAGCTAGTCAGAGTTTTTTTGATGGCACGGATGATGAGCAGCATCCACTTCCTCCAATTCGAGAGCCATCACCTCACCTAGAGCCATCACCCGATCGACCCGACTATACACCTCTAGAACGAGAGCCATCACCTATCCCGTCACATCATCGAGCCTCTTCTCCACCATCACCTCATGATAGGCGACCGGCAAAGATGCCACGACTCCTATCTCCCTGTTCTCCACCTCCACCTCCACGGGATGAGTCAAGGGAGTTACGTGATGAGGTCAATGCCTTGCGTGAGGAGATCGGCACTCTACGCGATAACGATGGTGCATGGCGTGTGGAGGTGTCAACTTTACCTGGTGAGGTTGCCGCTCTACGTGAGATGATAGTATCGTTGCAGAATGAGGTTCATACTCTACGCAACGAGGTAAGTTTAAGATTTTCCATATTTAACTTAATGATAAATTTACTCGTAATTTCACTTAGATTAGCCATTTCACTTAGATTGCTTAGTAAATTTATTCGGTTGCTGCCAATTCTGCTAAACTGTGTATTCTTTAACACTGTGAAATAGTATTTGTCTTTGTTTTGTCTTTTGGTTGAAAGTAAATTTGTTCGGTTGCTGCCAATTCTGCTAAACTGTGTATTCTTTAACACTGTGAAATAGTATTTGTCTTTGTTTTGTCTTTTGGTTGAAAGTAAATTTGTTCGGTTGCTGCCAATTCTGCTAAACTGTGTATTCTTTAACACTGTGAAATAGTATTTGTCTTTGTTTTGTCTTTTGGTTGAAAGTAAATTTGTTCGGTTGCTGCCAATTCTGCTAAACTGTGTATTCT